GTGTATCTCGCTTGGGCAAGGTAACACCAGCAATGGACACTTGAAAACGGAAAGCAAGTAAGGTGCTGTTATGAATAGTCATGTTTCCAATTATATTGATAAATGGAAGGATTCATGTGGGGCGCAAAGTCGATAAAATTATGGATCCAGCAGGGAACTGTGCCTGTTGGTGGGGGTCTGTAATGGTACGGAGTTCATTTAACTAGAAATTGCTAGAACCCCTGTCACACATACAAACATCTGTGACTGGTCAATCGTATTTGCGCATGTTTTCAGACATGGTGCACTCGTTTACTTCCTGTATTCATGCTGATGAATTAAGCTTCTTTTAACAGAATGCTGCCCCTCCACGCAAGTATCGGAGCGCAACGTTATGTTTACAGGAGCATTTGTCTGAGTTTGTACTTTTGCCATTCCCGCTCAATCCCGAGATCAAAAGGTGATAGAACGCATTTGTCATGTCAGGCAACGTGCTATCGAGCAGAAAAATCCGAGACCTCGGAAGACATCCGAACTGTGGAAAGCTCTGCAGGAAGTATAGTGTCCATTGCCTAGAACAGGGATGTCCAGCCTGGACCTATAGCAAGTATCACTGTGGCCCAAAAAGCTAGCGCGAAGCACAAACAAAGGATTCTATTACGTTTTTAATAAAATCATATCGTTTGTCATATCGAAAGAGAAGTCTGTGTCAGAAAATGAGTATACCAAACAGGGAAAAAATAAGCACTCTGTTTGATGCAAGAATTTGAAAAGAGATTTCAAAATTTTCCGAAAAATAATCAAAATTTTTGTATTTTTGTAACTCCATTTACAGTCAATGTAGATATGATCCTAGGAAATGTTCAAACTTAACGCACAGAGTTGCAGTTTCCCATTGAACCTTGAGGAAAAATTTGATTAGTCTCTTTGGGTGAGTTTTTATCAAACCTATTGCCTCGCTGCACAGTCATGCGTTATTTACGTTATCGTTGTTTGGCAACGCTCACATATGTGAGCAACTATTTTTGAGAGTGAAGCATACTGAGAAGTAAAATTAGAACCAGAATATTCGATGAAAACCTTGAGAATGTTCTGGAAACTGCAACCCCTTCAATCGAACCAGATACTGATAGATTAGTTTCTCAAATTCAAAGCCAAATATCCCTTAATTTTATGATTTCTTGTTACTTTTGTAATTATAAATAAAATATATAATGAGATGTTATGTACAAAATGTAAAATACAGCTTCAAAATAAGTGTATGTTGCTGTCATTATATTAAGTAAATCATAAATTGATGCAATTTAAATAGGTTTTTATGCTGTTTCTTGCTCCTCAACCATCGTTAGTGTTAGGCAGGGGTGGCTTGCCATACGAATCAAGTGGACTCCTGATGCACTTAAAATTTTCATATATCTTCGCTTTCTTATATATAGTACACACTGAACAAATTTGTTTTAACAAGGTCAAACCCACCTATTTCTCTCCTAAAGGTGAAATTCAATAATTCCTTTAAATGATTAAACCTGAGCAAACCCGAAAATATGTAATGGAACCTACATTAATGGTGTGATTACTTTTCTTTCGAAGTTCCGAGCTGCACTGGTGTTAGAAATATTTCTATGGCCCGAAATATCTCATCCTCTTCCAATGGGGCTCAGAGAGGATGAAAGTTTGGACATATCTGGCCTAGATCATATCTCCAGAACCTCTTGATGTTCTCGCCATGCCTTTGAAAAGATCTGCAGTAATTATGGCGTGCATTGTCTAGAGCATATTTTCAGAATCTCATGGAGTCCATGTTATGCTGCATCTTATACACTGAAGTGACAAAAGTCATGGGATACCTCCTAATATTTTTGTCGGTCCTCCTTTTGCCCGGCGAAGTGTAGCAACTCGACGTGGCATGGACTCAACAAGTCGTTGGAAGTTCCCTGCAGGAATATTGAGCCATTCTGCCTCTATAGACGTCCATAATTGTGAAAGTGTTGACGGTGCAGGGTTTTGGGCACGAACTGACCTCTCCATGATGTCCCATAAATGTTCGATGGGATTCATGTCGGGCGATCTAGGTGGCCAGATCATTCGCTGGAATTGTCCAGAATGTTCTTCTAACCAATCGCGAACAATTGTGGCCCGGTGACATGGCGCATTGTCATCCATAAAAGTCCCATCGTTGTTTGAGTACGTGAAGTCCATGAATGGCTGTAAGTGATCTCCAAGTAGCTGAAGGTATCCATTTCCAGTCAATGATCGGTTTAGTTGCACCAGAGGACCGAGTCCATGCCATGTAAAAACAGCCCAGACCATTATGGAACCACCGCCAGCTTGAACAGTGCCTTGCTGACAACTTGTGTCCATGGCTTCGGGGGGTCTGCGCCACACTCGAACCCTACCATCAGCTCTTACCAACTGAAATCGTGACTCATCTGACCAAGCCACGGTTTTCCATTCGTTTAGGGACCAGCCGATATGCTCACGAGCCCACGAGAGTCGCTGCAGGCGATATCGTGCTGTCAGTAAAGGCACTCGAGTCGGTCTTCTGCTGACTTGAACACCAGCAGAATTATTTTCAAAATCGCAACTAAAAGAATCAGGAACTCGCCAAATGCGTATAATTTAATATTCCGTACAAGGAAGTCATGTGGTGTACACATCAGATATTTTAGAAATTGTGAACCCAGTGTTTTGAGACGCAAACGTATGCCATTGCATAATTCTCTTCCTATAAATATATAAATTTATACTGTAGAGTCATTAGGGGTTATTTTGAAGCAGGAGATGTGAAAAATGCCCTCGCTGGGACTCGAACCTGGAACTATCGAATTCGCCCCGAGTGTGCTACCATTACACCACAAAGGCATGCTGGAAGGAGAGAGAAAATATCTTATATGCTCCCCCTTTTAAAGAGCGACTGAGGATTTGGGCAACCAGTCGCCAAATCCTGGTGGTAAAGAACTGTCTTCCACCAGCTTTTACAGTTTGGGCGCCACTGTACAGTCATTAAGTTTTCTTGAAGCGAGAGATGTGAAAAATGAGCAATATTCTCGCTGGGACTCGAACCTGACCTCTCAAATTCGCGCCGAGTGTGCTACCGTTACCCTACGAAGGTATGCTGGAAGGTGGGACAAAATACCTTCTAATACAAAAAAAAGAAAAAAAAATATTCAAAGGTTGGAAATGATGAAAAAAATAAGAACCGAAAATCTACGCACAATGGCAATTTTACTCTTTCGGAATAAATAGTCCGACGGTAATTGCTTTTTACTTTTTCTATCATAAGACTAACTGTAAGTCAATTTATTACTCGCAAAGTTGCGATAAATAAAAACTTACTTTATACTACCTCTACAAATACATTAATGTTTTACTTGTTGTTGTCCTTGGTTCCATATTTCATACACATATGATGTTGGTATTTCGTTTCCTTTAGTAAGAGGGCATCGTTTTAATGAACACTTCTCGAAATATCTCCTAATGTAATTTCCTTTTCGCGAGTAATGGACCGATTCACTTAAAATGAACCTACGAAACCAATATCTTTTAAACTGCCGCGCGTGCTACTGAGTTTAATTAATTAACATTCGTTTTTGCTGATTTATTTCATAATTCTGTCGATCTTAATTTCTCATACCGTTCATAGTCAATTACTCTCACAGTTGCACTATTACACAGTTTTGCTGGATCAACTGTCTTTTGGCGAAACCAATGTGAATTACGGAACAAACTGTTGTTTGTATAATTAAAAAGATCCCTTTTCTTTGATGAGCTAAGTGGAGAGCACTCATTTGAATACACGAAAAGTAGTGGTTGCCAAGGTAGCAGATATGTCTCTAAACCGTGCTATCTTCGATTCAGCCAAAAATGTCCATTCGGTCGTCTGCAGATGGCTGGCTATACACACAGACAAAGAAATTTTAAGATTTAAAATGCGAAATTAAAAATTTAATAGTTACGGTTTTCAAGAAATTTAATATTTAAAAATATGAGAAATGTCCCGGTTATCTTTGTTCTTATGTTAAAAAATACTTAAGACATCTAGTTTCTTTGTTTAAATGTTTTTTTGTCTGTCTGTTCAACTAATCGCTTTTCAAACTTCCTGTTACTTTCCGACGTTGAAGCTGCATTGTACGAAGTCATTAACTGAGATGTTTTTTATTGCTTTCATTTGAGGTGAGCAAGTGAATTTTGGAGAAACATAAAATAAGGATTTACAGAATAGTTTTTCTAAGATTCAGAAGAAACTTTGCGTGCACAGTAGTTACACTGAAAACTCGAACAGTGTATGCATAAGGTCTGAATCAATATTTAAGTGGAAACGGTCGACCCAAAATACTTTATAATTTGTACTAGATGCTAGAGTCATTATCAGATGCTAATTCAAGAGTTCATTCAGGTATTTTAAATATTAGAGTGCAAAACTGTTCTACTTTTGAGTAAATGGATTGGATTACTCAATTATGGCAAAGCTGGCTCGTGTACACGTTACAAATGGGGAAAGCCACGAAAACGCCCATGCAGCCAGTCCGTTCACGGGAATCCAACCTCAGACCGAACTACCAGTGTTCAGCGTCTACCTCGGGCCGAACTACCACCGCTCGGCCGCTGGTGGGCTCTTTTGAGTAAATGAATCAAATTATTTGGCTCTTGATTTACATTTGTTACGTTTAGTTTGTTTTTATATGATTACCGCAAAGCCTCGAGGGCTATCTGTCTAAGGGAATGGATGCCTTCGTGGAGGACTTTCTAAGGGAAACTGGCTAGTACACACGTTAAACATGGGGAAAACCCTGAAACCGCCCATGCAGCCAGCCCGTTCTCGGAATTCGAACATCGGACCGAACTACCAGCGTTCAGCGACTTTACCCCTCGGCTGCTAGTGGGCTTACATTTTTTACGAGAAACATGTAGTGTGTAAAGTTTAATCTCGATTCATAATCACAGGAACCTTTGGATAGAATAATATAAGCGATGCAATGATTATAATCAATTAAACTGAATGAATATGGAGCGAGACATACCTGGACTCGTAGACTTGGTCTTCGTAGCTAGGAAACGGATTTGCGTACTGTGGGAGAAAAATCATAACTGATATATTACTAAACAAATGTGAATTCCATAACACTGTTTAAAACTTAAAATTACATTAGATCACTAAAGTCTATTTTTCATTATTTGAGAGCCCTTAATTTGCTTTCAACTTTCGATTAACAATGAATGTTTTATCTTTCCATCATTTCACGGTTGTGCCGTGGAAAACGGTAGCTGCATTAATATTTACTACAATTATTTTCAAAATACGAGGCTTTGAAAATGTAAGTGGCAAGAATGCGGTAGTTTGATTAGGATCGTACAAGAGCTACGAGGCAAAGACATTCCGGAGGTAGTAATTCAAACGTACCGAGTAGAAAAAAATAGAAAAAGGAAAAATATAAATGTAGGAGAATCAAAATGGGCAACCGAGTAGCGAAAAAGTTCGGAATGTGATATGTGCTTCTGGTAATATCCAGTGTCTTGATATTCAGCATAGAATATAACGAAAATATACTGACCCGTTAATGACCTCATAAAGAATTTCTAGCTTTTCCGTTTCTCTACTTACCGTTGCAAGAATTTCGTTTCGTACATGTGTGTTTGACATTTGGTTTGTAGAGACATTAGGTTATTTCGAGGCCGGAGAGATGAAAAATTAGAAATTTTTTCGCCGTGAATAGAACCACGGACCTCTGGAATACCGGCCCAGCGTGCAGAACCACTACACCACGAAGGCATGCTAGGAAGGCGGAAGATATATCTTATATACGTGTGGAGAATCCTCATCCAACACCCTTTTAGTTCGAGCGCCGCTGTAGAGACATTAGGATTTTTTGGAAGCAAGAGAGATTGAAAAAGTAGCAACGCCTTCGCCGGTAGTCAAACCATGGACCTCTAAAATACCGGTTCAGTGTGCTGACCACTACATCAGGAAGGCGGGAGAAATACCTTATAGAATAAAGACTGCTTATTAGATGAAAAACTTAAAATATTCATAAATTGGCACACGTGTTTCTCTTTCTTAATCCTAAAGTTACTAAAAACAGATTCTGTGAAGTTTCATTATTTTAATGATAGTTAATCTTATTCTGTCCCAACGTTTCTAATCTTGTTCCACCCTATCACTGTAGAAGGAGTTAAATAAGAAGCTAAGAACTTCTAAGAATAAGTGAGGATGCATTAACGCTGTACTATTCTTACTAGTGCGTTGATATCGACATTATTAAGATTTAATATTGTAGTGCTTTCACATTACCCACAGCATTTTCCTGTGAAATAAACTACTTGTGGTAATTTTCCGAGTGTTCTAATTTAGCTTAAAGTTATTACGCTATTTATATTGGCAATGCATCGTAAACTGTCTGCTTTAGTATTAGTAAAAGACATACTTTAATGGAGGACGTTTTAAAGGAAATCCAAGGAGAATGCTTCAAAGAATTTCTGAGTAAGATTATATTCACATTGTACGTGAGGAAAACTACAAAATGCTCATATAATCAGCCCTTTCAATCACCCATAATTAAACTCTAGATAAACTTCCAGGGTTTTGCAGATTTGACCCCCCGGCTGTTATAAATTATATTAGAATCTAAAATATTATAAAAGATCTCGATATCCTTCCGTGATCTTGAAATGAACTAGCTGGCTTAGCAATGCGGTAATCAGCGGCTAATGTACTGAGCTGTAAATCCCATACTGCTGGAACAAAGGATTGCAAAAAACATTTTCGAGAAGATGCGATTGCAAGAGAAGATATTTTTGCAGAAAATATAAATGGATAGTAACAGGTGAATTGAAAATCATTGTTTGGAATCTTAAAAATCATCAGATGCCAGGAAATTCATTTTATGTGACTGCATAAGACATTTTGAGGAGTGAAGGAAAACTTCGAATACAAAAAATAATGATACTGCTGCATTCGAACTTGTTTGGAAAATTCCCAGTCTAAAGTCCTCATTTGTTGAATTAGCTTGTGCAAAATATTTATTGATCTGATGATCATATTCAGAGTGGTGTCAAATGATAAACGAATAGCAAGTTTTAATACAGCTACAGTTCGTAACATACCTATGTCCTATGTGCAGTATTCAAAGAAAGGTTGTTGATTCCGATAACTGACTGATTGAATAAAGGGATTAGGACAAACTTCATGTGTCCTAAACAATAGAAATTAAAGACAACTGTGCATATTTGTGTACGATGAAAACGAGGTGGGCTCAAGAAACATTAGCATTAGTTGGTAAATATAATAATCGATAATTATTGGATTTTTCAAACGCTAATATCATGAAAACATGGAATGCTCTTTCAAAAGTGACGAAATCAATATTTAGTTCCTTTTTGTTATTTTTTAAACTGTATTTGAAAACTTGTAGATCCCTAGGTAGTAATTTTCTTCAAAATCTTCCAACTATAATTTTTTTCGGGAGGGGGAGGGCCTGAAAAATTCTGAATATATTTGCAAATATTTGTTTAATTACTTGTGCAAACAAATTTACCAGCACACTGTTATATCTTAAATAACATCAAATTAAGAAAGCATTTTTAATACCAATAAATACTTTTTTATTAATTGCAAACTGCATTAAAAGTAGTTTTTATATGCATTTGTTTGCTTGTAGTTCGTCATCTTACTGAAAATATCAATGCTTGAATTTGGGTTGTTTTATTATTACATTTAGGTATGCTTCCCTTGTCATGGCTGAATTTTATATAATAATAGGAAAATATACTTAGTATGAAAAAGGATTTTCATCATATTTTTCTATTCTGCTTTGCATAAAATGTATTTTTTACATTTGTTAACTAGTTTAGGTAGCTTTAAAGTCATCTGTCATTTAAAGTAAATTATCAATATATGAAAAATAAATATTCTTTATGCATTTAGTTTAAACTTGAATAGTATATTTATGAATAAATTAAGTATTTGAACAGAGGTAAAATATTGAATATAATCCTTTTCACCTCCACAGCTTTTTCCCATTTTATCATGAATATAGCAATTTTTTAATCTGTACTTAAATTCTCGTAAATCCTTAATTGTTCGCTCACCAGTTCATTCAGTTATGCTTATGCAGAAACATAAATGCTGATTAAACTTAAAATGTCTCCAGGAAGCTTGAAAGATTAAAATAATTTACAATACTTATTTTCTGAGAGCTTAATGTTAAAAACATTGGTACTTTATGCAAGTTATTTTTCAGATGAAAAGTTTTCTCTTTTAACAAATGGACTTCCGGCTTAGAGTAGGGGGCCGAAATGCCCATTATGTTTTTCAGTATCTTAGTCTTCTCCTGATGAAGGCTTGCCTTAAATCAGTGATATCCAGCGAAGTCGATTTGCACCCACGGACAACTATGTTCGATTTTACAAAGAAGAAGGCGGTATTACCTAAACATAGTACGCGAGATGTTTTTGTAATGTTTGATACGCTTCAGATATAAGCCGGCCAGCTCAAGCATGTGGAAAATTCCTAACAGTCGTATAAATTTTGCATATTCTGTTGAGTTACCATATACCATAACATGCCATGTTTTTATCCCCAATAAATAATTTATATAAAATAATAATACAAAATAAAAATAAAATTTTAAAAAAATCTGAAAGGTTTCAGATTTTAAATTACGTCCAAAAGGGCGTTTTTTAACATTTCGTGTGTTACTTTTATTTATTAAATATCATGTTCTTTGCACTTAGTCCATAAAATTCAGTTCAAGAGGAATATCACAAAATAATTTTTAAATGAGCATATCGTTAGAATTTCCGATACACAGTCTTCCGCGTTGGAGATAAAAATGTTTTTTCTATACAACGTTGCCATTGCTCTTTTTGAAATCCTTAAGTTTGTTAATCAAAAATTCGTTAAAGTTTTACAAAATAGGAAATCAATAATAAAACAAATTCCTAGTTTCAAATTTGAGCTTCCAGATGCCCAGATTCGCAGAAAGATTACGTTATTCAAAATTTGATAGCTCTAGGTACCGTTGTTTTATCACAATACGAGAAAAATGCATACATTTATGCAGATTCTTCATTATTTAATTTCTTTAACCATAATACAGGGCGATAATATTTGGTGGTAACAATTTGAAAAGTGAAACAACGATTGTACTGAATCAACACAAAATGCCAAAACGAAATTAATAATAGTCCTTCTGGGCAAATTCCCCCTTTGCTCTAATAAGACTTTCTTAACGAAGAAAACAAGAGAATATTTCTATAGTTCTTTATTGGTAGTTATCTCGATCTTTCTTCCATCGCTCAGTAACTTCTGGTAAGTATCCTCAGGTAAAAAACACTCTGTTTTTCTAGCTTTGGCTCCTACTTTAGACAGTTCATCGTAGAATCGTAAATGCATATCAACAAGGCATGATTCCTTCTCGTACACTACACTTTTTTCTTCTATTTTCATACAGCACAGTATGAATCTTTGCTGAAAAAAGTAGCGTATTTCTTAATTTTCGAAAGAAGACTGAATATCAGATAGAGAATTCTCTGTCTGAAAGAGCTTTGAAAAATCACTCGCTTTGCTACGATACATCAGAAACGTCAGGAATAAGTATATTCTGTACTTTGGCGATTCGTCTTTTGGCATTACTCAGAACGCCTAGGAAAATGTGTGAGATAATAGTCGTATCATAATTTGACGTTTCTTTTTCGGCTTTCTATGCAATGCTTTCTTTATTTACATTACTGGTAATAAAACGGTTTATAAAATACGCTTTATTTAAAGCTAATAATTTAATTAAAAAACTAAAAGGAGAAAAATAATTTTTCATATAGTTTTAATGGGAAAAAGAGATGAAAAATATTTTTTTTTACAAAATTCGTCTAAACTTTTATATCATTGAATAATAAAAGTGTCGTACGACCTTGATATATATGTATAGATAATCACTTATACTTTTGACAATGCAAATCATTTGTAAGATTTCGTTGTTTGGGCGCCAATTCATTTATCATTCGTGATAAAAAAGTGTAGATGAATTTCGTAATGAGAATTATTTAATATCTTTCGCTATCAAGCTTCATAATAAATGATTTTTCCTTAGTTCATTAATCATTTTATGAATTTTAAACAAATGCTTATTTTATGAAAAGTTTTTAATTTCCTTATTATTGTAGGCCGCATTACACATTATTAATCAAATTATTCAATTGGAAAATCGTTTTTAACAATGGGTAATCACTCTTTTACTTCGAACAGTTACCTTACTATTTACAGGTATAGGGTAAAATACGCTATTTATAATTTTACTGTGAAGTTCATGCATGATATTTGAAATTAAAATATTCATGTATTTGATCTTAGATTCTCTTGGACTGTGTGATCTCATTCTTCTTCATTTCGAGTAATGCATTATTATTACACGACTTTTCCCAGTCAGCGCTACCAAATTTCCGATTTTAGGTTCTTCCTCTGACATTATTGTGTTAAAAAATAACATGGGCTTGATATTCTGGGAATAATATAATTTTTATCTTAGATGAATTACCACATCAGGCATACATTCGGTATGACAAGTTATGTATGCCAATTCAATAGTCGTCCGCACGCCTGGCTGGTTTTAGAAAAATTCTACAATGTCACCTAATTAATATTTTTATCATTTTTCTTTTAAAAGAGGACAAAGAGTTTATTTTTTAACTTGTTGAAATTTCAAGTCTTTATAACATGTATTTCTGTATGATAGAATTTTCGAAGTCTCATAAAAGAATATAACTTTACCTTTCATAATAATGATGTATAATTGAGTGCCTTTGCAATAAAATAAAAAAAACTTTCGCAGTCAAATTATGGAAACCATTTAAAATGAAATCTTCAGAAAACTTTCTGTAAACTTACAAAACGTGAAAAATTAAAAATGCCACAGCAAGTTCTTTTGTAAATAATTGTATACGCTAAATCTTTAACTCTGTTGTTTTTGAGATTAATAACAGGAAATGAACAGTAAATCCAAAATCTATCTGTAAAGAAAGGAGGAGGAAGAAAGAACATTTATAATATGACAAAAGACCTTTACATTAAGCTTAATTCCTTTGTAAATAATTCATTTTAGCAGGCGGAAGGAGATAAATAAATAAAATCAGTATTAGAGAAATTCTAAGCGAATCACATGACATCGAGGGAGAGCTGTAGATTTCCCTTATGGTTAAAATCCGCAATATATTTCTTAAAAATACACAGAAAATAGATCCAATTAATATCTTTTTATCATTTTATAAGGTCTCGTATTCTTTGGAAGCATAAAATGAAAGAAACTTTCTTAAAGACTTGGAATTGAAGTAACACTATATCTTGTAAAGTGCCACAGAAACAGAAAAAAGGGTGTAAATGAATCTTTTATTTGACTCAAATAAAGGTTAAAAGAAGGCACCACTCATTCTTACAAAATATAGTCAACAATTATAGCTTAAAACAAACATAAAGAATTTGATTTATATAAACGCGCAAGTTGGCTCTGACCTAAGGTGAACGTGACAAGCGTAATGGGGAGAAAAATGCAGTGCCACAGAATACTACTCTCAGGAGAATCACAATTAGCAACGTAGCTTTCAACAGGCAGAACACGCTCTGGTTCTGTCTTCTAAAACATTTCTTTAAATACTATATCCTTTCTATCTCATTTGAATACCACACGAGCTAGAAATTTACATTTTGGCAGGAAAAGGAGAATGAAGAGAACAGGAAAGCGAATTAACGTAAAATAATTGGTAAATAAACTCAACGAGACCTTATAACTCTTGTTTTAAAAGAGAGAGAAAACTTTGTTTCAGAATCTATGAAATTTTCAAATTTTTATAACAAATACACTTTTAGATGTTAAAGTTCTAAAATAATGACCGTCTAATAGGCAAAAAACTCGAGCAAAATTTGTCAAAAATTTTGAAATTATTTTTAAATTTCCATATCAGTCGCATTTTTTTTTTTTTTTTTTTTTTTTTTTTTTTTGTGTTGTGTGTGTGTGTGTGTTCTGTTAGATGGTGCAAATAATAAACTGAGATTTTTAGTTTGTTCATTAAAAGAAGATATGTGGAAAAACTTGTTAGAACATTAAATTAAAAAATATATATATAAATCGAATTTTTAAATACCGTTTTACCACATTGTATTGTCATCTACAAACAGTGTGTATGCAAAATTTCAACTCGGTAGTTTATCACATGGATTACCAACGTCGGTATTGAATGTTGGGAGTCGATGATATTTTACAGGAGGTAAAAAATGATCATGAAGTCGACTTTGGGTCCATAACCGAATACGCACAGTTGATCTGCATAATCAAGATCGTTGAAATAATTATTAATAAAATTGATAATTCATTGTTTATTGATATAAAACTGTATTTTGTAATAAGGAAAGAAATCATAATGAATATATAAAATATACACTAAAATTATTTAATATATTTAAAAATCAATAATTTTTTAATATATAAATTTTTATAAGACAGTAAAATGCAGGAACACAAGAAAAGGTATTAAAAATACGAAGAATGCAAAATTGGAGTGGAAAACAAGAAAAAAATTGAGTATATTTGAACGAGGCGATTTAAAATATCAAATTAAGCAGTTTTATGCCAAATACATCAATGCATCAAGCGCAGCCATATCATTAATTGAAATTGTGCTTTCGCGAAATTAGAATATGTGATTTTGTTTCTGAATACCTGGTTATATTTGAAAAATTAAAAATCTTAATATTTTAAAAATAATCAAATATAAATAATTCTAATAAATAATTTTTTCAAAATTTTTGTTCGCATACTTTATCTATAAATTATCAGTACGTTATTTATGTGCAGTTATTTCTATTATGATTATGTTGTACACCGTATATTTTAGGTAAAAATGTAAGTGGGGGATGAAAAGACCCTTCTTTAAAAGTAGTCGAACAAAGCAGCACATATCATGAAATTTTGATTCGTAAATATGAATATTGTAGTTATTAATTATTTAATTAAATTATTAATTATTTTATTTAATTTATTAAATAAAACTAGCATTGTTTTATTTTATTATTAATTATTCAAATGTTAATTTATTTAATTATTTAATAATTCAATATAAATAATTTAACTAACTTCCCCTCAACATTCTTTACCCAACTTTAGGACATTCGAAAATTTTCTGTATATTGTTCAGTTTGCCAAAATTCGCTTTCCGGTAACTTAGAAATTAATTTCCCCATTGTTGTATTCGTATTTTGCTAATGAACAATGATATGTGTTTTCGAAATAATTAAATTTCATTTCATTTCTAATTTCAAGTTAAATGAAATGTGTAGTTAGAATAGATAAATTTAAAGGAGTAGGATAGATTCTTTCTTTCAGATTAAAAGAAAATGCTGTCATTTCTTAAACACTGAACTTACTTTTACTTCTTCCTTGAAACTGTCAGGAATAACGCGAAGGCAATGATTCAAATGTAGATCTGAAAAAGGAATGTTTGTCAATATAGCGATAAAAACTCCAGTTCTTTGAAACAATAAGGAAAAAAAAGTCTTGAGTTCCAATAACTATATTTGTTGATAAAACCTCTAGTATTAACATATATACAATCGAAGGTTATATTCTCCCTATTAAACAACTACCTCGAATTTAATTTTCTATAATTTTAAAATTGCAGTATGTTAAAGTGGCCTTTACAGCAAAACATTTTCTTTATTTTAATAATAACTACAATTACTTTCAATATAAATCCGTAATTTCCTTTCGGTTAAGCTTCTGTATACAAACGTTTAAATTTTGAAAAGAAATTAATCTAGTTTGTCGGTATTAAATGATATGCTTATTTTCCTTCCCTTCTCATGTTTTCTATATAAATTTAAATAGATATATCTGTCAAAGAGAAGAAAGACACTTAAACACTATTTCAGAAAGTTGGGAAGTGCTTATGACCATAACTTCGATTTGATATTTAAATCCATAACCATGTGTTGTTCAGTGGAGGGTTAAAAGTCCTGATTCGGTAACTGAAAACCAGTTTTGTTTTCCTTTTCCACTGAAATTGAATAAAATGATCTTTAAGGTGCAAATAAACGTTATCCATCAGTTGAATGATAATTTACTGCTAAATGCCAAACATTTCAGGGTAATTAATCAGTTGTTAAAAATGTAAGGAAAGGTTTATATTTGAAGGAATCCAAACACTATACTAAAATTTATTGTAAAGTTGTTTTTTGCAAGGTTAGTAAGTCATTTCAGATTTCTCACATTTAAAGGATATTAAAACTAATTCGATAAAAATTGTAAGCAAGTGTGGAAAAAAAAGAAATATTTATTAAACCTATTCATATTTCGGCGTTTTTGATTAGACCCTCAATTGCTCTGGATCTGTTTAATCAGTCATATTTTAAACAGGAATTGATTTTCCTTTCCCTTTGTAATATAATTTTTCCTTTTTATTGCATAGTAATTTCATATTGCCGGAAGAGAGTGAAGCTTTGAAAAATTTTTAATGGAAAAGTTTTGAAATTTTCAGTTGTATATAAGTTTTTATAAAAAGCTTTTAAACATGTACAGCAACGAAATTTCAGTTGTAGCTTTTATCTATTTATATTACAGTTATTATCTATTATTATATTAGTTACAGATATTAACTATTATTAAGTTATTATCTAAGGTTTTTTCTCTCTTTTTTCCGCATGCCTTCGTGGTGTAACTGGAAGCACGCTGGACTTGTATTCGGAAGGTCCGGATTTCTTCAGTTTCTGACATAAAAAAAAATTCTTAAACTCTACTAGTGGCGCCCGAACTAAAAGGTGGTAGACGATAATTCGTCACCATCAGGATATGGCGACTGGTTCCCCTAAGCGCTATTTGCTGTTTAAAAGGGGGGATATATAAGGTATTTTCTCACTCGTTTTCGCATGCCTTCGTGGTGTAATTGAAAGCGTACTCGACGCGTTTTCGAAAGATCTAGGGTGTTTGAGTCTCGGCGAGGACATTACACATTTTTCTTGTCTCCTGCTTCAAAATAATTTAATGACTCTACAATCTATTCTATGTACCGAGGTTATATTCATAACATTGGTGCACAAAGACATGTTGTAACGCTGGAGAGTATGTTTGTGCTACAGAATCAACTTTTGAATCTTACTATAGCAAACACGCTACAGTACTTTCTAAACGGTCATCTGTTGTTTTGCTGATATAATTATATATAATTGTGTCTAAATTATATTTTCTTCTTTACTTTTTCTAGTTAAAAGTTTTAGTTGCATCAAATAAGAGTTTTCATAGGTTCATAATTTGAACATCTTCAAGTAAGATTTAGGATTACTTTTTGAAATTTATTTTATATTATTGCTTCACAGTCTCGGTTTTGGTCAATAAGAAAGAACGGCTTTTTTTTTAATTTTATCTATCTGACGAGCATTTAAAGTTGGATTTCATAACTACTAACAGCGGATCCGTTGTTTGCCGTTTTCACACCGTCTGGAAGCCAAAACTCCAGAATACGCCCACAGTCTCTTAAATTTTTTCCATAAAGGTGAAGAATAAGTAAGATCAGAAGATGCGAAAAGAAACAAAAGTGTTTTTTAATTCCTGAAAGATTAAGCCATATTTGAATACTAAGACACTAAAGACATTTAAAGAACACATTAATATATGCATCTCTAACAGCTTCTAGTTGTAAGTTTTTTAGCTGTTTATAGGAACTAAATTTTTTGTTTGTTGTGATCTTTCTGCTTCATTTCTGCCTCACACCCCTTCAGAAGTATATACATCTCGTTAACATCTAAAAAGATGAAAGCGCCTCAGGAAAACAGCACTTACCAAACGGTAGCTACCCAAATGCATAAAACTATACGAAAAATGCTTTTCTCGTGGTTCTTAAATTTATAGTCTACCACTGAGCTGGTGCATATAATTTAAGAATAATTCAGTAGTGGTGTAACAGCTTTAATATCGTTATTAATCTCTCATGCATTTGAAACAGATGAATATCCTGGCAATATTGAAACGCATAATGAATGTCCTGGCAATATTGAAAGGCTCGAGAGCCGCGTGCACTTTCTCGCACGAAGCATGTAATTATTTTTTTAAATAAGTTTATATACTTTTTCTTCTCTTGTTTGCATGTCGCCATTTCTTGTGTTCCATCATTGGAGTTTACTTCAAATTGTCAAAGAAGTATGACAGTGGGTGGAGTGGTTAGTCAGTTCATTTTCTTAATGGTAGCCTTGAACTTGGTATAAGCTTGAGTACCGATGCTTAAGAATCAGGAACTATCACACATTCTTGGATATTTTGTTTACATGAGTACACATGCAATTTTAGTCTCAATGGACTTTTAGTCGGGAATTTCTGTCAGTGTCACTAAGGTCTTATTTAGGAGCAGTTACTAATAAATTTGCATTTTCTGTTTGTGGTATTTCTATTTAAAGCACTGATGAAACAGTATAGTTTCATCAGAGCTCAAGGATTAATTATTGGAAGCTTCTGAGCAATGGACTTCCCCGCAAAGGGCACATTTCGCATACAAACTATTTTACTTTATTTTGAAAAGGATAGGAGTAGAAACACCTGTAAACCCTCTGCAAAAATCAAAATAAATGAATTATTTTTGCTGAAATGAATTTAAATAACACATAGATGTAAATTTACTCTTAAGTTGACAACGCCACCTACCGGCGGAGCTGGAGATATCAAGGAATGGTGCTGATGCTAGAAACAGTAAAGAAACATGCAAAAGCAAGCAGGCAATGAAGATGGGATTCAAGAATTACAGCCATGAATCTTTACAAGACGAAACATTCCAAATCACGTCCGTGGACTCTTCGTACTTATTGATCTAAGTTGAGTCTTATAAAGATCTAATTTTATTCCATGGAAACGCACAAAATCCAAGTTTCCAATCTGTCGTTTTAAACTTCTAAAACCGTGACTGCATGCCAATCTTGTAGTGATATCTGTTGCATAAAAATACATACTGTTTCTGCTTACCCAATTTCTTAACGAAGTTAGCTGGCATTCAGTAGCAGCATTCTGTGTATGTAATCTGCGTAATTCATCACAAATATTGCAGAAGTTTCGAATCACTACCGTCCCAGTTTCGCAAAGAACTTTATTTAATGCACTGCAAGTACCGTAGCGAGATACCTGAAATTTTTAATGCGTATTCGGTCATTTTCTTACAGATCATACCCAGAGGATGTCTATTATATTAACGTTGTCGTAAAGGTAGGAGATGCTAAAACGTTTTCAAAAAGGAGAAGGTGAAATGAAGAAGTTAGAAAATTACGATACATGTTATGAAAATTTTTTAAGTATTAAATTTTAAAAAATTTAGAGAAAGCGGAAAAAGAAATAATAGCAATAATAATTTTCGGGTAAAATATATACGCATAGCGCACATTCATTGGGTAAGTCTATTCTCAGATTTCCGTTGGCGTCGGTCTGTTCTCTATGGGTCATTTTGTGTATCTTACCTTTTACATTCCAGAGGTAGTTAAATTATGTAACTACTGGTTGTTTGAATTAAAATTATAAAACAGATGGCTAAATATGCCCTATGCATCGTCTCTGAAAAAGTCAGTAACAATGACATACATTTTAACATTATTATTCCTTAATATACATTTCAATTGTTATTCCTTTCACTATGAGCCATAAAAGAAACTTCATTACACGTAGTCCAAGTAAAAATTTCTGTTTATACAAGTTAATTTTTCTCAGAAAGATAATAAAGAAAACATAATTTGAAATTCATTTAACATTCAAAATATTTTATTAATTAATATAAATTTTTATTAAATAGGAATGTATGAAGAGACGTATGTGTCAATTTTTTCTAATAATTATTTATCTTCTGTGTAGACATTCGGGTCAATATCAGCAAAATCTCCTGTTACAGTTAAGATAAAAATAAATACTATATACAAAAATCACTCATTCAAGGAAACATAAAAACAAATTCAGAATCTGAAACTGCCTCCTTTCTTCTCAGATGAAACGCTTCACCTTGCTTTGAATGAGTGGTCATTGATTAGTTAATGAATAACCAAAGTAAAAGACGGCATATAACAGTGGCCGTGGAAAGAAAATCGGAGAGAGAATTCATTGTCTTGAAATAGAATTAAATTTAACAACGTTTGACAACAGCCTTGAATAGAACTGGCTTTTCTACCATTTTGTTGGATAAGCTAACTATTTCCTCTAATCTTAACGCATTTACGGATAGAATAGAAAAGAGTAACATAAATGTCATTGATGAACATATTCCAAATCGCAGTAATTATTTACTTCGGTTACTAATGGAAAAGGATATTCGAAAAGTTCGTACACTTCCTATTTTAACGTAGTTCGGAGCTTCGTAAAATTAACGTATATGTAAGGCACCATATTCTATCGATTGAACTTTCATGTAGTTTCCTTAAAGGAGAAATATATAATTTAAGAAAACCGAATCGTATACCAATTGACATAAGAACAGAACTAATAGAATTTATGGGTGTAGAACTAACTACAAAAATGAAATGATAATGTTTGATAAATGCGAAATGATACTTAAGAAAAGCTCATTGAAAAAATGAAACAATTTCACTCAAAAAAGAATAAATCCTTACGATCCAGCTTTCGACGGTTAAAAATAAGTATTTAAACGGTTTAAAATTAAATCAAATAATATTCTGTTGCCTCTGAAATTCTAATAAATTTATTCAGGCAGCAGAAACATATGAGACTAGTCTTTATTGGATAAGTTAAACAAGAAGAATCGGCGTAATATGTGCAAATGTTTTTATTGTCCTAGTCCCTTTATTTTCCCTTTATTGTCTATGTATACTAGTCTTTATTGTCCTTGAATGCATTGCTATATCACATCCCGTTTCGATCGTACTGCTATGCAATATCTAGTTTCTTAGACCATTTTAAGCAATAAAAATTTGAGCAACTACAATATGCTCTTTGGAAATGTGTACTTAATTTATATTCTTTTCTTTATTAAGGGAATCAGGTATTGTATAGTTTGATATGTATTTGCGGAAATTTGCAACTAGCTTTTCCTGAGCTTTATATAAAAGAATAACGAAAGCAGGAAATGGTCTTCTAGGTGTTTCATTTCTACGTATTAAATTGAGTCTAAAATATGCGAATTAATGTTAAGTGATAATAAATAAGCATTTAGAACATGTATGTATATAGAACAATCATGTATTACCTCTGTCTTTGTAAAGGAATGGATCTTCCATGTGATCCCTTTCTTCCGATGTTTTATTGAGATACTCCTCCCATTCGATGTTCATATCCCTGAAAAACAATTGAAACATATGTTATGGGTGGTGATAACGATCAGAGATCGCATGCATTTGTTTCACATGACGCATGAAAGGAAAATAGAGTTTAGATAACATAGCGACAACTCTCCTAAAATGTTTAAAAAGCTCAGACATTACAACGCGTATAATATCAGCCTATAAATCGTAAGATATAGAAAGAAAGAAGGAATATAAACTAAATTAATTAACATTCCAAATTGGTTGTGTACTTAAAGTTCGATTTAGCTCACAGTATCTTTTAATAAAGTTGCTTTAGGTTGGATAACGATGCTCTAAGACATATTGCTTTGCAAGTGATGGAGTATTATATATTATAGTAGTTTTCTGCAAGTTTAATTTATAATGGAATGAGCTGCTTCCAAAATATTTTCTTACTTTTCTGTAATGAAAATGCACGCCAGTTTTCATCGAGATGGTTTCCCTGAAAGCATGTCTTACAAAACACATACTTACGTATCAAAAGTTTCGACAGAATACATACCTCATCAACTTTAAATGGAGGTTAGTCATATCGTAAAAAATGTTAGGTCGTTCTACTACGCACATGAGTATGCTTAAATGATGATACAGTCTTAGAGAACTGAAAACTTGTATTATTGGACAAGAAATTTAAGTACAGTGAAACATCGGCTCACGAATTTATTTCGTTCCTGAAAGCCATTCATAAACACAAACAATTTTCCCCATAGTACTTAACGTCAAGTGGATTAATTCGTTCTTCGAACATAGGTGATTGCTTATTTAAACTTTACAACAGTATTTTGTTTTTAATACAAAATGCATAGAAATTATTAAATATAAAACAAAAAAGATAACCACAGTATTAAACAGATAAAATAATCGAAAACTTAATTTTAGTGTGCAAATAGTTGTGGACGGCTTAAATGGAAAATGTTAAGGAACAAGTTATTGTCTGGATGCGAAATTGCCTTCCATAAAAGCATCAATTATCTGCCTCTAAGCGGCACCATCTTTTATCTTTTCTTTTTTTCTAAGCGTCACTCGATTTCACTTTAATCCACTGATCATCTGCTTCACTTAACATTGCCCTGCGTGATTTGCTATTTTCAGTCATAATGTATAAGAAACAATTTTTAAAATGTTTCTTATACATTATTTTCTTCATGTTGATCACTTTATTATGATCCTGTAGTAAACAGCTCTACATCTTCGTTGTTAACTTCTTAACCCATCATTTTGCCAAGAGAAACACAATATCATATATAATAAAAAAAAAGTTTTTTTAAGCGTTTAAATGCTCTACCTGCAATCCATTCCGGCCATAAGCTTCTTCTCATATAATTCATGGTTCTGTGAATTGCTTGCTGCCAGTGAGTGTTAATTACGAGGCATAGGTTACCTCCAAACAACTTCCAAGATGATATTTTGTCAATTTGAATGCTCGTAATTCAAGACGCTGTTTTCATCCGAAGCGTTTATAGTTCAGATAATTTGTTTTTGAAGCGAGGTATTCGTGATTCTAAGTTGCACAGTCTTATATAAGGCTTTACATCGCCAAGATGGTCACTGTAGCCACTACATATCTTTTCGTTACTTATCTCTAATACTTCTAGATTACAATGAAATAAACGTAACATATTCTAGTACTGCGCAGTTAGTATATTATTCAGCGGATGCTGCTACCACGTTGAAGGAACATAATTCGAATCTCATGAAAGACACGATACTTGAGTCCGTAATTTCTATATGGAATGTGCCTAAATATGTATGAAATAGTAAGTATCATATTATATGTCACATATTATATATTATTATATCATATTATACATGTCAAGTTACCACATTCCTTAAAATTTTCTGACATGACTTGAAATCGATACATTAGTGAGTTCTGTCTGAATTTCAGAAATAAAACTGACAAGGCTCACGAATTCCATGTTACTGGTAAATAAAAAAGACGATGGAGCTAGGCAAAGGTCTTATAATGCAAGATTCATGAGCAATGACATATATACCTCTTGTCTATCTATTATTGCTCACTGGGTTGTTCGTTCAATAACTTTGGACAGGTATCACAAGACATTAGGTAATCGTTTCTACTTCCCATTCTATTGCTTCATTTTTCGAGCGAATATAATTTTTTGAAATGGGCAATAGTGGCTGTGATATGATAAGGCGATGATTCATTGTGACGTGTGACATTTCTTGAGTTAACAAAGCCCCTTTCTTTTCAGCAAAAGAACTGTAGCAATTTCTGTTTCTAACTTCGGCCTCTCCCTATTTTATTAAATGAAATGAAATACTTGCAGAATTAAGCCTAGCTCTTTTGAATGTTTAGTGATTCGGATTATTCATGCTGCAAAAGATTGGTAATATATGCTGCTTGAAAGCTGGTAGAGGCTTTTCATAAGAAATTTCATTTTCTTGTGTTTTTATGATTAGGGTTAATTTCCACATGCTATGGTACATTGAAAACTATATGTTCTATGAGTGATTATTAGGGAGAATAAAACCATCTGAATATTTGTGCATTCAATTGTTATATTTCATTATTCGTTTAACGCAGAATAAATTGGACGGAAAGCAAGATCACTTAAAATACTCTTGGTGGAGAATGGGTCTTGAGCAGTAACAATGATTTGATGTGCATTGTGGCATTAAATATGAAGTTGTATACTTTCGAAAAAATTCGTTGGATTAATTAATATTTGAAAATCAGTTTTATACAACATATTCATCTGCAGTAGCAGGAAAAATTAATGAGCCAGTTATATAATACTTATAATAAATGTATGGTCATTCAGACTATTTTACATAACACGCACTTTATTCTACAATTTCTTCCAGATTTTGAGATCATGAAATGATTTTCCCATTTTAGCGCGCATCTGCTTCTTTCAGCTTTTATGATTTTGGTTAAGGAAATGGTCGTTACAGAAGAGTTTATTATATTTTAAATATGAAGACTAAAGATATAATTTGTAAAATTAATGAGTACAATAATGGTTAAAATACTCTAATGAATTTAGGAAAATTCGATAAAGACGGGAAGTCAGAATGACCATGCCATAAAAAATAAATAATTTTTTTAACCTGATGAATATTATACATCTTTAATAATTAAATAAAAATATTTTATTTCATTAATCTAATTTTACTAATTAATTTTTACTAATTTTACGTTTCATTAATCATTTTTAAATTATATAATATTCCGTTTTAAAAATAAGGGGTATAGTGTTTCATGCTTATACAAATGAGAACATGTGAAGTAAATCTAAATTTTGCTGTTATTCTTTCTTTAGAAAACATGTTATTCCCCAAAACATGATGGAAAAGCGATCGTGACACTGACAACTCGTGAGCGCGTTCTTATAAAATGGCATCAGAGGTTGTTTGTACATTCTCAGTTGTGATTTCTTGCGTAGCGACCAGCTTCTCGTACGGCTTCCCTCTCCATGACTTAAATCTGTAAGTACTGCATCAATATATTCTATTTTGAATCATTTCATTTACCATAAGAAAGTTTCATTTAAGACGAAATAAAATATAACACTAAAAATTAAATTAATTTCGCTTATAAGAATCACAAGAAAATGAAATTTATGACCTTCCGCCAATAGTTAACAGCACATCTAAGCTCCTACCCTTCTCGACAAAAATCGAATGGCACGTGGTTCAAAAGAAGTAAAATGATGTAGCATGTAAATGTCTGTTTACTTAAGACCACAAAAACATTTTTACTCAAGCTTTAAAGGTAAAAATACCGGAAATATCTTGTATTATTCAAACATTTAGATATGAAATCAGTCAGATTTGCTCCGGGCTTCTTTCATGTTCATTTTCATACCTTAATGTCTTGTCGGAAATGCTCGCATCTCGACCGACAATAGCTGACGTAGATTCCTATTGCTTCTGTCTTCAACAAACACGTATGAAAAATTAAAGCTTTATTAGCATGGTCAGGAACAATTAACATATATATCATGAAACAATCGCTCTTGCATCCGTGCAGTAACAAGTATTAGAGATAGAATCAGCCTATCTCTTCAGTCTTCTTTTTCTTCAATATCTTTTAAAGTCTTTAACACCTTTTTCCTAACATGACTGTTCTTGTCACACCTCTCTCGCGATGTGCATCATACGAGTGCTCGTGTCAACACATTCAAGGAGAAACAGAAAAGCGTAGGGTACTCTACTTGACAGAGCCATTTATTCTTCAACTATGTCACAGCCATTTACTTAACCCATAGCCTGCCGTAATCCCCATTTAAAGATTTCCTAAGTACCGAGGTTGTACTTCTTAACAATTGATATATTGAGGTATGAAATGTTTATTATAATTTCAGTTGGGTTTTTCCCCCTCCTAAATTAGCGGTAAATCACAATTCATTTTATACTTTTGTGATTTCTTACGTTTTATTACAAAAGGAAAACAAAGAAAAATGAGTCGTCGCAACATAAGGAGTTAATCAAACAATAAAGTGTTAAACACCGTATAAGATATTTTATCAAATGGGCGCAAAAATAGTAACACATTGATTTAAAATGCCAATAAATATGCGACTTACAAAACTAATAAAGCAGTAAACTAAAACACTGCAACAGTAAAATTATGAATGTAGACATATTCACGGAACTTTTGCTTAGGCCATAAGTAGAATTAATTTCGAAAAGAATTAAACTTGTTTCGAATGGCACAGCTCATCGAGTCAGAGACTGTAGAATCAGCGAAGCAGAAACGAGGAAGCTGCATTCTTAACTTCATCCCCTTGAAATGAAACATAGACTTGATTCTGCAGAAATACTCTTTATTACGTAACATATGTTACTTTTCCCAGTTGAATATTTGATATTGCTTGTACCCTGTGTTGTGTTTCTTTCTCACAGCTAATAAAATAAATATGTTTCTACGTTTTAATTGTGTATTAAATATTTCCAGTTTAGATTACCCTTTAATTAGGTAAGGAACATTGATCGTCTGGTATTATCTACCTATCGTTAACTGCGTTTAAATCTTAACCAAGTGTCCTGTGCGTTCCTGTAACGTATCGTTAAGTTCCAGTTTAAGAAATTATCAAATTAGTGACTTTAGTAAATTACAAATTTTGGTCACGTGACAGCATTTGATCAAATGTTTCAGAGGCTGATTTTATGAGCTTTTTAGAAATGGATTTTCAATTTCAAAATTATTTTTTCGTAGCTGAACTAAATAATATAAAATGACTCATTTCTTACGTTTAAAATTACCGAATATATTATTACTTAAAATTTGGAAGCTCATATACTTCGAAAGAATACTTATGATTTCGAATATAGATGTTTAAGGAACATTTTATATTAGATAAATATTAATACCAACATCTGGGTTTCAAATTTCCATACCTACAAACACAGAAGTTCGAAATTTTGTACCTCATGAATTAAAATTTTATATGACCACAAAAATCGAATATTCCGCTTTTGGAAAAAATAGTTCTATTAATTTTGGCTATTTTTTAGGCACAAAATTCTTGTACCGTGGAAATTGTATTTTTTTTTTTCTGAATCATTTTACTGAGTATAAAAGTAAGTTACTCACTAGAACTTCTTGATATATAAAAACACGTATACAATTTGAATTTCGCATATTTTTGCAGAAAGAGTCACGTGATTAAAAAGGTCGCAGTCTTAAAACTATTAATTCATTTTTTAATTTGAACCTTATAACTACGATCTGCCACTCAAAATTTTATTTCGAGGATCGTTTTGTAGCAACTTATTAGCTTTCCTTACTTCATCAAAAACTCTTCATTTTATAGACGTTAAAGAAGGTAAAACTACCATTTATAATGCCTTTTAAAATTTATCTTTTGTGGTTACTACATGATTTCATTGTGCGGACTACTTTTGAAATTAAATATTTCGGTTAATTTTTGTTATACGCGAATCAAACATTTTGATGTTATTATTTCATAACAAGTATAAAACTTTCCCAAATATAAGTATAGGAACCAGAAGACCGCATTAAAAGTTAGATCTCGTTATTTTTCGGAAATTAATTCTTCTTTAAATTTGACATTGCCACAATATGAACATTTTTATCATTTAAAACGCACTTCTGTAACTGGAAGTAAAGATTTATATTTTCAATAAACGGACTGCTGAGGGAAATGTTTATTGCAAAACATGTTCGCAAATGACTTATCGAAATAAATGTGCAAGTATGTTTCGAAAAATGAAGTCATTTTGTTTACTAAATTAAGTAGCCATATCTCCACGTGGCGCTACTTTACGATGATAAAACGTCATAAAATAATTTTATTCTACCATAAAGCTATGTCTTTAAACTCATTTTAAGTATAAGATTTTATGTTCTTTAGTTTCAATTTATGGGAGGCTAATTTTTAAACTAGTAACCATATCGTAACGAAGTATTAAACTAAAATCTGCATATCAAAATTGGGTTGAATTTTTTTTAATCTTACGATTTTTGTAATTAATTTTTTTAAACTTTTTTTTAACTTTAATAGCAAACTGTTCAAGATTTGTACTTGCAGTTTTATTTTATAGCTTTTTTTTGTGTATTTAGTCTTCTCTCCTTTCCAAAAATCAAAGCCAACAAACAACAAGTCATATTTTGCCATTTTGCCTATTGTTAATATTGGAATTTAGCATTAGAATTTTGTGCCTATAAGTAATTTTATTATATTTAAATAATCTTATTATTTTCCTTATTTCTTAATAACCCTTATTATGTTTTGGCAAAATCATAAAGGGTGAAGTACTTTTAAATTATGTAAATCATATTTATCAGTTTACAAAATTTATGCATATATGAGGATATATTTTTTATCATATTACGTAAGGCAGAACTGAACGCAAGTAATAAACACGATCTTAGAATCTTGCGTGCTGAGCATTTTGCAGTGTTCACCCTCTCGTAGGGAAAAATAAAAACTTTCAAACACTTTTTAGAAAGAAATTTCCGTTTTCTGTATAATGGAAAAACTCCTTTTTTAGAGTTTCATATACATATACGAATCATGTATAAATTAGAGCATTCAAAAAGAGCGAATTAAATAATACTTACTGTAAGGCATAATTTAGCTCCTTACCCTTTGAACTGGAACTCTGACCCTAAAAATTAACGCACAGTGGAAGTATATAAGAGAATATGTCTTTTCTGAATATTATTAATTATTAAAGAATATGTGAAGGAAAAACAAGCTACCTCAATTATTTATATTTTTAATTAAAAGCTTTTTTAAGCTGAATAATTTTAATTTTATCTGAATAATCTATCGTTACCACAGACGGCTTCAGAAAAACACAACACAGAACAGGATTGTCTAAAGGATTTGTCTTCATTAAACATTTCTTTCTTTTATTACTTTGTAGGGTTTATATTTATTTTAACTAACAGTTATTTTAAGTTTAAACTATCTTTCCTGTGAAGCCTTACTTTCCTCTGGAATTGCCAATGCCAGAGTATGTACATTTTAGTAGAACGCGCAAGGATTCAAATTATCAGCGGAAGTATTCTGAGTTAAATAGAAAGGAAACGAGTTCGAAGTGCGCTTTTTTGCTTCACGAGTGTGGAAGTGGCTAGTTAGAAATTGAAGAACCACGCGTTTCGGCCTGTGTGCTTGCCTCGGCAAATTGTTAATCTTTCAACGTAATATTCAGAGTTTGCTGAATTATCAGCGGTATTGTAAAACGCGGTGAGGTTAGTTACGTTTAGAGAGCCTCGTAGTTAGTTACTTGTTAGTATCTCTTTTTAGTTTCTTATTTTTATTTTAGCGCCGGGTCGGCGTAGTTTGTGAGCGTCAAGAGCACGCAATTGTAATTTCTAAAGTTGAATAAAAAGGGACTTAAACCCTTCTCAAGACTCTGTCTAATTTCCAGTTTTCTGCAGTCACCACTTTGTTGCGTGCAGGTTGGAAGCGAGCAACTTTAAAACTTTTCACCTAATCTAATTAATTAGCTTTGCTTATCTAGTTTTGCTGTTTGCATTAAAATAATCCGTAATCAATATCATTTAAAAATTGTCAAATAATGTTTATCTTCTTCTATAAAATATCCGCTATTGCAAACTCAATTCGCTAAGAGGATGAACAAAGAAACGAGTGCGAGAAATCCGGGGCAAGGCAGCATGATGATTTCGGTGATTCGAAAGCTCCAAATTGTTTCTAGATCGAAGCAACAAATACATAAATTCTTTCACTTAAGTGGCAAAAACGACTTACATATTTGGATGAGTTAGGTCTTCAGTTGTAAAGAATTTTAAGCATGGTTATGATAATGTTTTGAGATGCAAAATTTAATCTTAATTTTTCCTTGATTTGAAATGAAAATTCTCAGACATTTCGCGGGATAATCTGATGCGGGTCTCTCTACGCATGGAGTTGGTATTCTGCTTTCTACCTGAGAAAAACTATTCTGATCGTTTCTTTTTAAAATAAAAAGAAGAAATTTTAGCAGCAAGTTTATACAATTATAGAAATTTAAGGTTTTGCATTTCTTTTACATCTTTAATACTAATCGCTGTAAATAGCTATCCTGTAATTTTGCTTAATCATAAAATTAATTTTCCCACCAGTATACTTTGTCTATTAAAACTGCATCTTTTAAAAGCGTTTGTGGATACTACATATAAATTTACAGAATGCCTTACTGTTCAGCATCTCATGAAGCAAAAACAATGGAATTGGGTGATTTATTAAAGTCGCAGTTCTTTTCGCAACAAGCGTGCATGCCAAGTCACAAACACGTCTGCATCTTAGAGAATATATTTATGACAATCACGATATTTTATCGCGGGTCTCTTTCGAATGTTCATTCAGCAGCAGGTTTCTGTAGAAATGTTGCGTCATTAATAATTATTAATTGCGGAAGTTGTATATTGTAGACCTTATTTTAAAGATTTCTTTCATGTCTAATGTTTTATATTACTGTGTGCGTACGGGTTTGCAATAAATTGAATGCACACAGAATGGATGATAGCTTCATAAAATTTATTTTACTAAAAGAAACACTTCACAGTTTTGGAACTTTCCACAAAACTACTTGCACAACTCTTCACAGTATCACAGAGTAGAATCGGTAATTCACTAAAAACGTTAAACACAACGCTAGACAAACTTCAATAACTACATTCAGCTCTGAACCACTCAAAAGCTTTTGCTCTCTCCGGTCTTATACAGTTTTCTCCCACCCGCTGAAAAATCTCTACTTCTTCTTGAAATTGCTGGAAGGTATACGAGGACCAGGTACGGCTGCAGTTGCATACATAGATTAGTTACAGTTATTCAGTTACAATATCCATTACTGTTATACAGGGGCCGGACCAAAATGTCTCTAAATGGTCGCCATGTTTTTCCACTTTTGGCGATTTCTCGCCAAAGTCGGCGACAAAAATTAGTGGCCAAAACCGTTTCTAGGTTGGCGACATCTCACCAATTTAACGAGTAGAGCCACGTTCTCAATTTTAAATAGGCTTGCCCTGTATTCTTACTTTTTTGGCAAAGCATCGCCTCCTTAAATTTTCATGTTACTTTATACGAAAAAATACTCCAATTTCACATATAATTTCAATAAAATGTTTTATATATATACAAAATTCGTACCAATGTTATATGATTAAATATTCAGGTACTCACCAAATCTTCGCTGTTTTTAGAAAAGGGACAAGAAGTGGCTCTATCTGAAATAATTCGAAAAGGAAGTATGTAAGTTAAACTAAAAAATAAAGTAAACACACAAAGCTTTAATAAAATAGACAAAAAAAGTTTTACAAGGCCATCTTCGTAAGAAAGCTAAATATTGATATGATAAACTGAAAAAACAGAAAAATGTGTACCAACACTTAACGCTGCACCGGGAATTCTAAACGTAAACTGCTATGGTGCTTCTTAATTTTTTGTAATTTTGCTGTTGAATTTTACATGGAGTAAATGCAAAGAAAAGGATGCTTAATAATAAAGCTTAAAAAAAAAAAAAAAAAAAAAAAAAAAAAAAACGGATTAGCAGGAGTGGTGCAACAGCAGACTGGTTATTAGACTGAGAGCTGAGCGAGAGCGTAAAAAAACCTTAAAAAATTCTTTTGGGCGGCCATTTAAGTCCTAAACCTTTCACGTGTTTAGTGTGTAAGGTATTTCTCTTGCCTTTCTAGCGTGCCTTCGTGGTGTAATGGTCAGCACACTGAGCCGGCGTTTCAGAAGTCGGTGGTTCGATTCCCGGCGAAGGCGGTTACTAATTTTTCAACTCTCCTGCTTCCGAAAAATACCTAATGTCTTTACAAGTGTAAGTTTGTACTCTTTTGCTTATATATATTTTTGTCTTTTTGTTTCTTTTCCCCCACAATACGATTTCCCACTGGCGGGAGACATTCAATGCCGCATGGCTCGACGTAGAACGAATGTCATCTTGGTGGTGACTGTTATCGCAAAATGCTTCTTTTTCTAATACATGTCTTGCAACAAATCTTCTTGAGTTGAAATTCTTAAACTCTCACTCTCTGTCTGATTTTTAGCAGAGTCACGCGTTTCAGAATATGAGCTAGTATAGCAAATTATATTTACTGATTTACTTATTTATATAGATATTTATCAAACATACTCTAAAAAATTTGATTATGTGAAAAAAAATAAACAAAGCAGATACTGCGTGCGCACGTTCAGAACTGAATACGTTGAAAATATAAAGATATTGATCTTCTAAAAAGGTTTTAACATGAGGTGTCCAGATCACGTTTCTTTCATTACCTATCTTTGTATGAGAGAATTTTTCTCTCCTATGAATTATATAACATACAAAAGATTTTTAATCTTTCATAACAAATTAATATTAATGAGAAAAGAATGGTAATAAGGAATACGAGGCATGCGCAGGGAAGTGAATAGAGTAAGTAGCTTTGCTATTTAGGTGGTTAGGAACATCTCGACATTTGTTCAGTAATGGAATTTTTTTATACAATTTTTCCAGTAATATAATAACAGAATTAATTGATTTGTGATTTGACACATGGTATTAGAACTTATAAGTGTAGTATAAGCAGTATAGAAATATAATTAAACAGACAGGAAAAAAAATCATCATTAACTTTTACATGGAAATAACTCTCCAAACGAATACTCGCAAAAGATACGCGCTGTTTCTAATGATTCTAAAGTTTCATTGATAACAAGAGAAAATCCGCCAACGATGAAGTCAATTGCAAAGTCTTTAAATATGATATACCTGTTGCAACAATAAACTAAGATTTTTCAACTTAAAAATTGTAAAAAATACAATGTTTATCAGCTTTTGTCGAGGCATGTGGCTCAACCCAGAACAATTTGTAAAACTCTGTATGAAAACTATTTGGCAGGAGATAAATGGAAATACATCATGACCCTTAATGAAACATGCGTTTACCTAAATGACTGCAACAAAAAACATGGTCTATTTATTGTCGAAAAGGAAAAAGAAAAAATGGGCAAAACTGGTTTCGTCAATGCAAAGAAAGTTTCGGTAAGGGGTTTATGACTATCGAAGGATTCTTTTACGAGGGCAAATTTAAAATAAGAAGAGTGGGGAAAATGTTAAAATCAGTTCAATATACTATCAAGAGAACGTTTTACATCCGATATTTACAGAACAAATTTTACTTTTTTATCCCAATGATTTCAAACAGTGAAATTTCATCAAGACAAAGTAGCAAGTCATACTTTGAAAAGTACTCTTCCATTCCATGAAAAAATGAAGATCGATACACAAGTATTGCATATACCTTTCAGCGTATTCCTACGAACCTTTTAAAAATATTTCTGCAAAGTATCCTGACCTTTCACCTATGAAATACCGTGCCTCTGGTCTCTTTGAAAGAACTCTTTACTAAGTGCAAACCCACCACGATTGATGGTCTCTAAAACATAATGGGTGAGGTATGGAAATCAATACCCCTGGAAATTTTACGAAAAACTCTTTTAACATGAAAATCACGATGCAGACTTGTCGCGAAACATGGCTATCAGATTAAGCATTTAAAAAATACTCTTCACATTTTTAACATTAATTAAACGACCTCAAAATCGTTCTAAAAGAATTTAAAACACCCTGCGTAATACTGTTACTTCTAATTTTCACTTTGATCCTACTGTATTCTTCCTTATTAAGCCAACTTAAACTGAACTCATACTCTTCGTTGTTGCGTTTTAGATCACAAAATGTATAATTTGTTTCTTATTTTTGTTGATAACAAGAATAATTCAAATTAAGAACATATTTTATCAAAGTTTTTTTTTTCCGATGGTAAGTTTGTTAAATGCGTATTCTATTTTCTAGAAACAACTTTAGAAGAAAGGGTTAAAATCCATTAAATGTATGAACAATTTACAACAATTTACATTTTTCTTACTGACCGTGAATTGCTTCCGGAATCTCGTGCTTGTTGCCACAATCCAGAGACTGATGGGCACAAGGAGTATCTTCTTTTGCACGCAAATTATGTTTACACTTTTCTGTTGTCCCGCTAAGTTCTTCCATAGTTTTAAGATTTCCCTAAGAGAAGGAGTGCAATTTGTAATATCATTAAAAATATCCATTCTTTTAAATGATCGATCGTAAGTCATAAAGTGAAATCAAGATTTAGAAATATATGTATTCAACTTCAGTATGCTTTTATTTCCAATGTAAAAAAAAATTAATGAAATTTTAGAGACAATCATATATAAGCAAAATCAATGTCTAATGATAGCTAAATCGTACGTATTTCTAACTTCAAATTGTATATTATGTGTTGCATATTTTAGCCAATCATTTTTAGGCTGGATTTATTTTATGCTCTTAACAGGTTTTTAGTTACAATAGTGGCTTTGGTCTTAGGCATCAGTACTCAGAGCTGTTTAAACAAGATTTATAAATTACACTCATGTCCATAAATTAACGATTATGCAAGATCAGGCAAAGGAAGAGTTAGAAGCAAAACAAATTTGACTTATTTGTAAAGCTTATTTATTAAACAAAAGGTAAAGAGCAAAAAAAGATGCTATATGTTTGATATATTAAAAAAATTAGCGATCTTTTCTTCCTGGAGCAAATTACAAAAAAAAAAAAAAAAACTACTTACAGAAAACCAATATTACATGGTTGGTATGATTGTTAATACATTGTATGTCTCCCAGACGATGCAATACAGTCCGTACAATGCCTAGGCATGCTGAGTATCAAATTATCGATCTGATCTTGGGGGATATTACACCACTCAAAAAGCATTGCTCTCCGAAGTTCCGGCAGACATGTAGGAGGAGGTTGACGGGCTGCAACTCGTCGGCCAAGCATGTCCTACACGTGCTCTACTGGATTCAAGTCCGGTGAGAATGATGGCCAGTCCATACGGGTGATATCCTCCGATTGAAGGCATTCGCTTACGATGTCTGCACGGGGAGGACGGGCGTTATCATCTATAAACACAAATTGTGCGCCCATGGCGCCCCGAAACAAACGTACATGTTGTTCCAGAATGACGTCATGATTCCAGTTTGAACATGCAGGTCAGTTCTGGAACCCAGAATAATTCCACCCCAAACGAGCACTCCTGCACCACCGTAACGGTGTCGTTCAATGATGTTTTCTTGGTGGTAACGGGTACCTGGAGCTCTCCATATGAAAGTCCGGTGAGAATCAGACTGCAAGCTAAACCTGAACGCGTCGGAAAAAAAAATCACACAAGCCCACTGTTGCGGTGTCCACAATGCATGCTCTCTACTCCAGGCTATCCGCAGGCGACAGTGAGTTGCAGTAAGTGGAACGCATCTGACAGGTCTACGAGCATATAGACCAATCTGTCCTAAGCGTCTGTACACGGTCTTCCTTGAAATTGTCGTACCAGTGACTGAAGAGAGATGACGAGACAGGTCTGACGCTGTGCTCCGCCTGTTTCTTTTGGCAGTAACTGCCAAATACCGGTCCTCATTCGGCGTTGTAACTCTGGGGCGACCTGTGCTGTAACGTCTATTCACATTACCGTCACCTTGTAATCGTTGCCAAAGCCTGGAAATGACACTCTGGGCAATTCCAAGTTCGTCTGATACTTTCAGTTGGGTACGCCCACATTCCAGACGGCCGATAATTCTACCACATAAAAAATCATCCAAATGCGTCCTTTGTGTCATAACTATTCGGTTATTGCACTGAAATGCTTACAAAGCGCCTGCGAACAATTTTACTTCTTTGCCTGTATTCCTTATATATCACTCTCTTACACTCTCGTCATTGTGACGTACCATCGGTGTCATTTGGTTACTTCCTGAAATTTGCATATGATTCTTGAATATGTGTGTATTGATTTTACAGGTGATATATTTATTTTAGAGTTCGATTTCCGTATATGAGTGTATATGAGTGTATATGAGTATCCTAAAATATACAGTGTGTATGTAAATTATTCTCTAAATGTAATGCACCAGTTTACTTTAATTGCAAACGGAATATTATTAAAAAAAACCTTATCCTTTATTATTTTATAAAAAATTATTAAAAAATTATTTATTTTATTTTTTTATTAAAAAAACAGTCATTGTCTCAAAGAGGTTTTCCTAGTGAATACATTTCTCCTTTCTAAAAAACTTCTACATAAATAAACAACTGAAACTACTACTCAACTGGGTAAATGTTTTTAGTGCTCCCACAGGGAACCGCATATAATTCTGTTACTCTCACATATGACCGTGCAATTGGCTTTTTAGCCCAAATGGATGTTAGCCCAGAAGGGCTATTAGTTTCGAAACGGCATTTTTTGTTGAATCATCACAAACAGGGTTATAGATAATACAACAAATCCCAAATTCCAAATTTGGGCTTCCAGGTGTCCGTATTCGAGAGAAGGACTATGTTATTCAGAATTTGAAGTTATATGTTGCAGTATCACTTTTCAAATTGTTGCCACCAAATATTATCCCACTGTGTTATATTTAAATAAACTAAATGACGAAAAATATGCATGAATGTATGTATGTTTCTCGCACTGTGAAAAAACAGCGGTACCTAAAGTCGTCAACTTTTGAATAACATAGTCTTCCATCCACACATGGCTACCTGGAAGCCGGAATTTGGAATTTGTTTAATAATCTAGTTCATATTTTGTAAACCTATAACGAATTTTTGATTCAAAAGCTCAACAATTTCAAAGTGAGCAGTGACAACGCTCTAGAGAATAAGATAATTTTATCTCCAGCGCCCGCAAGACTGTGTAGCGGAAATTATAAAGCTTTGCTGTTTCCAAAATTTTTAGCCCAACTGCTTTCGAAAAGTGTATGTGTCTGTAAATGAAAAATGTCGATGCGTACACCCCATGACTTCCTTGTACGGAATATTAAATTATGCGCATTTTTCCTGCATTTCATTTAAACTTATTTTATTAGACATATATTTCTCATTCAGTTAATTCAGCTCTCACTTTGCGACAAGGGAAAAATACATAAAAACTCAAAATATCTATATTAAAAATTGAAAGATATAGAAAAACATAAAATATCAAATACAGTTCAAACAACTAAACTTTTTTTACAATTTAAATTACAGTTTCTGCGCAAAAACAAGCAATTTGGCCAGCGGGAAAGTAAGTATATTTTTCGGTGCACAAAACTGAAAGCTTACTTTTGGTCTCACTCGGCAAAAAGACACTTAAGGCGTAGAATCTGACTTAATTTGTTGTGGACACTGAGTCAATATATGGGATACTTTAATAACTTTAATGATAATTCCAGTATGGATTAATCATAATTTTAATTAAGCATAATTTAATTCGCAATAATAAAAGAAGACGTTATTTTTTTGTTGCGAAGCTTACTTTCTTTATATTGGCAAGAAATCTACTATTCTGCTAAGTTTCAAATGTAAGCAAGTATGGCTGCTATGGTAAAAAATTAGGCTTAACGGCACTTAAACTATTTTTAAATTGTTGATAATTTTGCAACTATAACATGCAGGTTAACTAAAGGCATAAAAACCTTAACTGGAAGATAAGAACAACATAATTCAATCATTTTTAAAGCGAAAAATACACAGTTTATAAATATATAAGAATAAAGAAACTGAGCTCACTAAGCCGAGTAACAGAGTGGATATATACATATGTATATACATACATTGCCGCCCAGTCGGTATGGTGGTCAGGGAAGCTGACTGCGATGCCGAAGGGCCTGGGTTCGAATCCCAGAGAAGGCATGGTTGTAACTGTCCGTCCCTTCATAGGAAAGGCGATAGTGGCCCACCTATTAGGTGCCTCCATAACAAAGAGACCACCACATCCGGCCTTGTAATAGATTAATGGACTGGGTTACATTTGTAACTGTCAACAATCTGCCATTTCAATATATATATATACTTTTGGTGCGCCCGATTGCAACTAAAAAGGGAGGTGCACATGTACATGTCATAGCAGTCCCACACACAAAATGTCAACTTTCTAAGGCGTTTTTGAGTTGTGCGACATACATACATAAATACGTACGCACGCATGTACGTACGTATAGTCCCCCGAAAAACAACTCTGTTTTAAATCAGTTTTATAATTCGTTTAGGGAAAAAGAGTCCTTTATTCTGTCTTTACGTACAGATGTCACTCAAAAACATCGTTAATTTGCATTTGATAGGGGTCAAAATGTATATTTTTGTTGAACTATGGTTCCTGGAATTTTTCATGACTACAGTACTTCCTTTACTTCGTACAAGGAAGTAAAAAGGTCCGTTTAGGCGTAATATAAAATCTGAAAGCTTTCAGATTTATTTATTAGCCCAAATGGGCGTCAGCCCAGAAGGACTATTAATTTCATTTTTGAGATTTTGCGTTGATTCATTATAAAAGTATGAATCACTTTTCAAATTTTTGCCACCGAATATTAGAGCTCTGCATTATATTTAAAGAAATTAAATTGGGAAGAATCTGCACGAATGTATGTATGTGTTTCGCTGTGTGACAAAAAAACGGTGCCTAGATACATCAAATTTTGAATAACGTATTCCTCCACTCGAATATGGGCATCTGGAAGCCCAGATTTGGAATTTGAAATTTGTTTTATTACCTATTTCATATTTTGTAAAACTCAACAATTTCGAAGCATTCCATTAACATTAACATCGCGTGCATCTTCAAACACGCATATTTTATGCGCGAGGTTTCTTTACATTTCTTGCTGGTATTGTGCTGGTAGCGTACCGTCTTTTTCTGAAAATAAGACATCCTCCGAAAATAAGCCCTATCGTGATTTTCGGAACTTTTTGTAAAATAAGACATCCTCCGAAAATAAGCCCTATCGCGATTTTCGGAACTTTTTGTAAAATAAGACATCCCCAGCTAATGCCCTTATTTTTACTTTATATAAAGCTTTTTCTTGGCAATTAAAGATTACATTTACATTGTAATAGATTGCAATAGATTTGAGGTTGGGTGCAGGAAGTAGAAGTTGGGTTGGGTGCAAAGGGAAAAATATCTGCTCTAAGGACTACACCAGTCTTTGTGTTTTATGTTGCCCCTTAGGGGGTCG